ACTTCGTTTTTATACTTTTCTGCTGGATGGTTAAGACCAAGGTAAAGCAGGACCTATGCAACAAGAGTTGTAGCTTTTGGATCTGATAAGGTCAGTCAAGTCCCCTCAGGATTTTTCCTGAGATCCTGTACCTCAGATTGTAGATCTTCTAATACTTTTTTTTAAAAAATAGGAAAAATAATAAGGTGCTTCACATACCTTTACAATCTAGTAAAAGAAACTCAAAATAGTATATCATTAGTAATAAATCACTGTATACTGGGACTCCACCACAGAGATCATGACAGATATTTTTTTGTGGCATGTGTCTAGATGTCCCCCCAAAGTCTCATTCAGTCACAGGTAGGCTTTTTCAGAGATGGCTGGATCTACAGTGTGTGATCCTGGGATTGATTTATGGTGCACTGCTAGGCTTAAGAGCACCAGGATTCAGGGTGTGAGTGTTACCCACCCTAGGTAGCATGGATAGGCTATAAGGGACAGAAATAGCTGTGGCCGTCCTTCGTTTCTTTTGCTACCACCTGCCACACCTTGAGCCCAGGGCTCCAGGAGGCTCCAGCAGGAGACTTACAAGTTTTAACCAAGTCTGAGTAACTTAAAAAATTAAAAATTTTAAATTTAATTTTAAATTTTAAAAAGTAAAAACAGTGGGAGATGTAGCTGTGGGAAGGCTCTGCATTCAATCTCCAGTACTGTAAAACTAAAAACTATTAAAAAAAAAAAAGGCAGTCACTGAATAGGAAAATATTAGCAAGTCATTTATTTGACAAAGGAATGTATCCCAAATATAAAGAAAATTGTTAAACTTCAACAATAAGAAAACTAAACCTAAGAAGGGCGAAAGTTCTGAAAAGACATTTTCATAAAGATACAAGAAGGTCGAAAAGCACATACAGTGGCTGCCTCACCTCACGCAGGACGAAGCAGAGGAGCCTGCCCTGCTGCCCCGTCACTGCACCCTCAACTGCACAGGAAGGAGAGAGGGCCCCACCACCAACTCTCAGCCAGCTTTGCCCCTTGGTTCTCAGCACAGGGTGCTGAACAAACTGAGGCTAAGACCAGCACCTGGGGGAGAGTTTCACTCCTGAACTAAAGAGCCACCCTGCCATGGAAAGCAGGTGCCACACAGTCACAGGGGACAGACTTTCAGAGAGCAAAGGCCAGACGCAGATGCCTAGAAGCTCACGCTCAGGCCTGGGGAGGCCCAGGGCCTGAACTCAGGGATGGGAGGCAAGAAGAGCTGGAAGCGTCTCAAGCCCTAAAAGAAAACAATGTCCAACCTACACTAGTTTGTCATGCAGAATTATCTTTCAAATGTGATGGGAAAATAAAATATTTTCATGAAAAAGAACACCTAAAAAAATTTATGGCTGCC